CAAAATTGAGGTTGCCAGATTTTTAAATCGCAGATACTGTCATGATAACGTTTAGCGCGCGTGAATCACGTAGAGCAAGCATTGAGTTTTCATGAGCGGGTGGTTTGAATTCACGCATCAAGAATTATTGAATATCTTCGTGAAGAGTTGATTTCGATAATTTTCGTTGTGCGCATCGTGTTTTACGTGAAATTTTGGTTAAGAAACATGTATTAAAATGTTGAAATTCGTACCTTGTCTAGTGGTCCATTGTGTTAAAAGAAACTTATCCGGTCGGGGACTTGAACGCACGTGTTGTCAAAGTCAAAACGCTGTTTTTGGAACACCCTATGAATAACTGCTCCGTCCAGTCTTTTTCTTTGAGTCGGAGGTAACAAAGGATAGGAGGAGGGCTAATCGTGTGATTTTCATATTACCAACATCTTGTCTAACGCATCCTCATACAGGGGAAAAGAGCGAAATGGACAATCTCCGGACACCACCTGCACCACCGCACAGTGGATCGAGTAAATTACAGAGGTCGGACATGAAATTTTTGATTAAAACTGCAAATTTTGGTGTTTATTTCGTCACATTTTACATTTTATGGGGTATACCTAAGGTGGAGGATTCCACGAGGAAACCAATGGAACCACTTTTAGAACCTCAAAGTTTTGTATAAACGGAGTTATAAGCGTGTAAAGTTTCCACATTTTGTCCAAATTCTTCTATTGGCTCGGTCCATTGTGCACCGCAGTGGGAGTTTGCCATGGGAGTGGACGGACATGACATTTTTGACTGAAGCTTTTTATCTTCAATTTCAGTCACCATTAAAATTTTAAAAGGTGCCTCGTAAGTAAACGAGAGTATCGCAATAAGGCAATTAAAGCTGCTGCGGGCCGATTATTGAAATTGATAGACAAAGCTATATACAAAGAAAAGAAAAGGGATATGGAGGGATCCTATTGGTGGAAGCGGGTTGTTGCAATGGACAAAAGCAGCAGGTAACAGACTAACTAACGGCAACCCACGAGAAGCTCGAAAGTTAGCCCATCATTTTCTCCCTTAGTCTATAGGAACCACACATTTAAACCAAAACGCTGAAAACAAATTCTCGGCGTTTTTACCAAGGTCCGTTGGTACCTTTACCATCTCACTTTTTTTTACCAATTATTGGTAATTTTACCAAGACAGACTGGTAAACTTACCTAAAAACCTGTATTTTTACTGTTTTTTTCAGGTAAGAACACCACTTTCATTGGTAATCAATTCCCGATAACTTTGCCATTTTATCTCGGTAATTTTACCACAGTCGATAAAAAATATTGGCGTTTCTACCAAGGTCCAGTAAAATTACCGAGAAAGTTCAATCATTTTACCGATATTTCTCGGTAAAATTACCAATTCCATAAATGGTAATTTTACCAAGAACCCTGAATTCTTGGTAATTTTACCCTTTTCTTAGTAAATACACAGAGATTTTCTTTCAGTAAAGGATCGCTCCATATCCGCTATGTCCTTTTTGTCTACAGTTTTGTCTATCCATTTCAATAATCAGCCCGCTGATTCCTCTCACAATCAGTCCAAGCGCGGTACCCCTCGCGGGGGACACCCGAGCGCATCTCCAAGTGCCGGGCGGAAAACCCGGTGTGGGTGGTTTACATTCGAGTTGCGTCATTAATAACATTCATTACATTTCTGTCGGCGGTCCGCTATTCGGCATGCCTCGGCCTCCGAGTCCCGTGTTATGTTAACGACTCGATGGTTCCGTCCGCGATTAATATTCCGCACACCGCGGTTTCGCGCGCCGATCTCTCGATACGAGAACGGTAGCCGCTCACGGTAGCGTCATCCAGGATTCTTCTCCCTCTTCCCCCTGAAATCCAGACGCTGTCCTTCTGCGCCCGACTAAGGGGGAAAACGCCGTATGAACATTCGAGAGTTGCCACATTTCCTTCAATAAAATGTTTGTTTTTGAAGGAAGTTAGGCATATTTTTAACGGTAGCGTCATCCAGGATTCTTCTTCCTCCTCCCCCTGAAATCCAGACGCTGTCCTTCTGCGCCCAGCTAAGGGGGAAAACGCCGTATGAACATTCGAGAGTTGCAATTTCCAGCAAAAAATTTCCTGCAATAAAATGTTTGTTTTTGAAGGAAGTTATGCATATTTTTCCTTGAAATTTTCAGATACACTGAAAAAAAAATTCTCGGCGTATTACCAAGGTCCGTTGATACCTTTACCATCTCCCTTCTTTACCAATTATTGGTAATTTTACCTCGAGTTGGGTTTTACCTCAAAGACAGACCGGTAAGCTTACCTGAAAACCGGTATTTTTACTGTTTTTTTTTTCAGGTAAGAATACCACTTTTATTGGTAATCAATTCCCGGTAATTTTGCCATTTTATCTCGGTAATTCTACCACAGTCGATAAAAACTACTGTTGTTTTTACCAAGGCCCAGTAAAATTACCGAGAAAGTTCAATAATTTTGCCGAGATTTCTCGGTAAAATTACCAATTCCATGAATGGTAATTTTACCAAAAAAAACTGGGATCAAATAGAACCCTGGATTCTTGGTAATTTTACCCTTTTCTTAGTGAATACACAGAGATTTTTTTTCAGTGTATATTCTGGATTAAACTGCAAAGAATATTGTCTGAAAAATTGGGAGAAAAATAATCATAACTTTCTCAATAAATGTGTATTTTATCAAAGGAAACTTGGCAACGCCTGAAGGCTCATACGGCGTTCTTCCTCAGCACGCCAGTTCTGCGCTCAGCTCTGGGTCAGTCGTACATGTCACGAGAATGAGCCTCAAAAGTTCACACTCTGGATAGCACTGCCGTGCTGAGGAAGAACGCCGTATGAACATTCGAGGGTTGCCAAATTTCCTTCGATAAAACATGTATTTTTGACGAAATTTAGCACATTTTTCTTTGAAATTTTCAGTCATTTTAGAGTAAATTGCGTACAAAATTGTCTGAAAATGTTGGAAATAAATATTCAAAATTTTCCCAGTAAATTCGGTTTTTATCGAATGAAACTTGGCAATGCCTAAAGGTCCATACGGCGTTCTTCCTTAGCACGGCAGAGCAGTGATCGGAATAAGTTGCGATTTGGATTGCATTTTGCAAAAAGGAACGAGGAGCATTGTAATGTTGCTAAGGATTGTAAAACTTCTTTTGTCTCGGAAGAAAAATCTGACCATCCATTAACAGTTTCTATTCCACTCGCTAAAAACTGAAAATTCAAGGCAAAAATCGCCGTGTAAACTTCATAGTTTTTTATGATTTCACTAATTTTATTGCAAAGGATGAAGTTACACATCATTGCAATGCTTCTGGTTCCTTTTCGCAAAATGCAATCCGCATTTGATCGGAAAATGTAACACGATTTTATCGACGTCGATTCGTTCCAACGTTATCAGATAAAAAATTGCGATAAATTGCGATTTCATCACATTAATTTGCATTGAAATTGCGCTTTTATCGTCGGCGATTTAGCAAAATGGTATCGAACAAAGAATCGTCATAAATTGATATGAAATTTAGATTTTATCGAACGCGATTCTGTAGAGTTAAAATTTGCGACAAGACCCTGGATAATCGCTCAGATGTTGAGGATCCTAGCAAAAATCGTGACTAAATTTTAAAATATCGCGATTTTATCGATTTTTTTTTGTATCGCCATGTTTTCAATCAGAAATCGTCATAAATTGAGATCAAATTTCGGTTTTATCGAACGTCATTTCATAAAGATAAAACTGCTAAAATGTCCAGGATAATCGCACAGATGTTGATGATCCTAGCAATTTTATCCCCAAAAAATTGTAAAAAAATCGCAACTTAATTTTAAAATATCGCGATTTTTCCGTCGAATAGTACTACTTGAGTCTGTCGTGTTTCCGAGGCGCACAGAAAAAGCAGATATAAAATTTTCAGGAAATGGACCCATGCAATTAAAAATTTCCATGTAAATGACGCCTTGGGTGACTTAAAGTTACCATTCTTCGGTCAGATCAACCAAAATGACTTGGTTGATCGACCAACTCTTTAGTTAAATAGATCGAAACGGAAACCGTAGGTAACTCTGAAGTATCTGCGGATGCAAAAAGAGTCTTCCCTGGTAAAACTTTCCTATAGGAACCCATTAGATTCCAACGGGGACTCATTAGATTCCTATGAGCGCCCAATCAGATCCATGAGATTTCAGTGGGTCCTAATGAAAATCAGTGGGGACCCGTTGGCTCGCACGGGTTTTAATGGGAATTTCTCTCTGGGCTCCCATAGGACCATTTTATCAGGGTTGCTGTGCTGATGTACTCCTGTTTCTCTCGATGAATTTCAGAAGTTGCGACTTGGGAGTGGCTAGCACATTGGACTCTCATCAAAGTGAACCCCATATGCGATCTTGGCGGCTTGCACTTTGATTTTTAACGAGGTTGCAGGGCCGGATTAAGGGGGTGGCCACATGGGCCGCGGCCCATGGCGGCAAATTCGAGGGGCGGAGAATTTTGCAATTTTTTTAAATGTAGCTATAAAGAAAAATTGGATTCAGAAAAAAAAAAAAAATTACGAACAAGGAAAGGTGACAAAATCTCTCACTTTCTGAGAGTATATCTCTAATTTTGTCGTCCTTCTGTGTTACAATAGATAGACAGCACCTTTAATTATTCGAGTTAAGACTAAGAGAGAAACCGAACACGGAATTTGGCTTGGAACGGCGCGGCGCAGAGAGCAATGATGACGAGAACGTGAGATGAAAAGGAGAAACCCTCGGCGCGGCGGTCGGCATGTAACACATATTAGCGCCATTTTCTTTGTGCTGCCGATAAAATTTAGTGAAATTTTCGAACAGATTCTACCAACAATTTCTCAGTAAAAAAATAAAATGGCGGCGGAAATTTTTAAACGTCGCATGTCGCTTGTGATACTTTACCTGGAAGGTGACGAAGTAAGTAAATCCGGCCCTGCGAGGTTGCAAATTTTCATCCCATAGATTTTGTTAATGTAAAGATTCTCACCTGCCAACTGGGATCAGCATTCCTATAGTACTTGAAGTTATCCTTGATCCAGGAGTAAATTGAACTAAGTGACATTTTGTTATTGTTGGCCCGCATGGCCATGCAAATGAGCGTTGCATACGAGAACGGTGGCTTCGAGTCACCGTTGTTTCTGTAATCCTCGGCGGTTGAGGGACCTGTCAACAGAAAATCTCACCTCAGTGAACTCAAGCATAATTAAATCCTATACAAATTCCTAGAAACCAATTTTTGCTAACTTTGAGTCCGTGCGGTCAATCCTCTACCGAGAGAAATGTCAGCTGGTGGTAAAAATTTAAATCTTTCCTGCTCTACTTTTCTCTCAACTATTTTAAATCTCCCCCAGGGAGGAGCTTGTTAAAATTCTTGAGACTTAAATTTCTCACATTCACTGGTTCAAATTCCATAGTGTTTTCATGTTGTGAGGAATATCGCTGTAATACCGAAAGAAAACAATTGCCCTCGGAGTAAAAAGAACAACTTTGCGTAGGTAAGAATGAGGATTACTAGCTCGGCATGTGAGATTTTCATCGCAATAAAGCATCATCAGATGAAGGAACGGATGCCTGTGAATAAAAGTGTCTATCTCGATTTTTCGTCGGAATAGATTTCTTGTGTTGCTGATTATCTTTCCCCCTCTATCTTTAACAATAAGTGTCAACTCCCACTAAAAAGTATAGTTACGCGAGACAGTGGCTTAGAGGTTGCATATACAGATACATATCATTCCGTGATGTCAAGACTTGGCCATGATTTAAAATAAAGAAATTCAATCAAGAAGGTATTATCAGTAGGTATGTTTATTTTTTTAAAAGAAAAAGTGCAATTTCGGTAACCACGATGCCAAAGTATTATTTCAACGATTACTTTTACTGAGTAACTCACTACATATATCAATATAGAATATACATCACAAAATATCTATGAAAATATAAGTGATATTTTTTGCCACTGTTGTGACCTCAGATCTGTCTCTTTCTTACTTACTCTGACGGTCTACACGCGCGTTTTTCTTCTTTCTATCTTTTTAATCAAGACATTTACAATGAGGATCTCCTTTCACTTCGCAAAGCAATATTGACTCAATTTATGAAACATTTCATAATGAATATTTGATATTAAACGGATATGTTATAGAAATAGGGAAGAAATACTGTTGAAATAAGACAGTAGACACTATTGCTGAAAGTATTTATGTAAATAGCTACAATATTCACAAAAACTGGGAAAAAGTGTCATGGTGCTATCTTTTCAGTCTTATTGATAATTTCACCGTTTCTATGATCCCNGGGGGGGGGGGGGGGGGGTTAAATTGCGTATAGATAGCATTGCAATGACTGCGGCTATCCCTGGTAAAAATTGGCGATAAAAGCTGCGTTTCAAAATATCATGGGAATTCTTATAGCCGGCTAAAGAAGCCTACAGAAAATCATATAGCTGGCTGTAGAATGAGGACAAAATCATACGGCCGGGCTATACGAAGCGATAAAAAAGTATGCAGCCGGGCTATAGTTCCTATCGTCGGGCTTTACACTTTATCGCCTGACTGTTGCTTTTTCGCCATCGATTATAAAAAGCTATAAGAAATTGTGTAGAAATTCGTGTGCTTTGGGAATCTTTAAGTTTGATACGGAATCACCTTCATATTTACAAAACACACATTATATTTTCCTTTAATACATATTTTTTTCATCAATTAAAATAAGAATAATCCATACAGGATGTGCAAAGATTTCAAAATTATGATTTGAATAACGCTGACTCCGCCAGATTAAATATTAGAGCCTAACACAAAGCGGAGCAGCGACGCACTGGCGCCTACAAACCTAACAGGGATACTTCACGCATTGCGCAACGCGTGAAGTATCCATGTTAGGTTTGCAGGCGCCAATGCGCGTTTCGCGCTGGCTGCCCACCTGCCGCGCCGCACCGTGTCACGGCGCTTGAAGCAACTATTTCACAGCAGAGGTATTGCACAGTATCATACGAAACTGAAGGCACTCTAATATATTAGTAATGGCAGGCATCCATTAAAAGTACGGAGCTTTCCTCGCAAAATAAATCAAGATACTACGGCCCAAAAAGAGAGCAGTATTCCAAAAACTCACTAAGCTAGCATCCGTAATTAGTAACGTTTAGCACACACTTTATCGCCTGGCTGTTGCTTAATCGCCATCGGCTATAAAAGGCTATAAGAAATTGTGTAGCCGGCTATAGAAGCTATTGGAAATCTTACAGCCGGCTGTAGGTCAATGGTATTTTGGAACACAGATTCTACTGCCGATTTTTACCAGGGATATCATTACTTTACTGCTTTCGCATCACCGAGCAATATTACTGTCAATATTTTCAGACGATATTTACTTGATATTTTGGGTAAATATATATCTCTCCCTGTCTCAATTGAAATATTGTACCGATAGTGCCACCGTCCTCTTTGAGGTGTAAGCTCTTTCGGCTAAACGCATTGGAGATGAAATGTGATACTCACTTAAATTTAAACAAAGACTAGGAGTGACTTTTTTAGGAAGGACTTTAGTATGGCGAGGTGGGGAGAGTGGTGAGGAGGGAGGTGTGGGTAAGGAAGCTACGTTCATGATGTTGAGGTTCTGCAACCAGTTGAGGCTGGTCAGGTCTGGAGCCACATCCTCCATCTTGAGAGGCTGGCCCACCGGCATAGTCAGCCTCCACGATCCCCTGCAACAGATAAACCAATCAATCAATTTTAGGCAATAATCAATCACAGAAAAATCTATTTGAGTCGATCGCAAGTCTTCAGTGCGTAAATATCCAGGAATAATGTGTCAGTGTATGGTAAAATCTACCATATTTTTTACAGTACGACGATTCCAGCATGGATTCTGTGTCGAATACTTGCTCTACCCCATTAGCGCGGACCGAAACGTAACAATAACGTAACCGCCAAAAATCCTGAGAGTGTGGGCCCCGAAGTCGGGTGTCCGGAAACTATCTGAGTGTGACCAGGTGAGTCCGCCCGAGGGAGCGTGGGGGAGTGGTCGGGGTTCGCGGGAGGGCAATTATTTTCCACCCCTTTGGCCGCTCCGCCGGGACCCTCGCCGCAGCCAGATGATTGCAGCCCAGCTTGCCGAGCTTCTGACCAGCCACGTGTCTGCGCGCTTCCGCTTCCAATGGGAATGAGGCAGAGTGACGGGGAGAGGAGGGCGGGAAAGCAGATAGAGACACGCGTCCTCTCCGGATTTTGGACACGACATATTTACCAGCCGCGTTTTTTATGAGGAAATTTGAGATAACAGGATTGCACCGAGAAAAAGCTATGGCTCATAACCAATTAGTGGTTCATATTGAACACCACTAATAGATCGTATTCGATACATCAAATGAGTAAGATTGTACCGATATCGATTGGTAATAAACATAAACCTAGCCTCAAAAGTAAATTCAGAAATCTGAGAGAACAGGTATTTTGTAACAGATTTTTTATTCTTTTGAGTACCAAATGCCAATGCAAAGTGAAATTGTCGGGAAATTTCTCATTTTCAGCTTTTCCAACTTAAATCCTTACAGTTTGGTTTGAGGTTATGTTCTATTGTTTTGAACCAAACGATAGATCGAACCGTTATCGAATACGGTCTATAGTAGCAAAGGCCACCTAGCACATAATACCTTAGCGATGGTATATAATTATACCTTAGTGGTTGGTTGATTACTTAATTTACGACGATCAGCAACCAGGCTTTTTACGTCGGGGACCAGGAGACCTTAAATTTTTAAATTTAATTGCTTAAAGAGTTTTAAAATTTCGGTCACTACTATTGGATCATCTGAGCTTAAAGGGTGGATGTTTTGAGGGCGGGGATTTTGAATTTTGATGCGTATAGCATAGGTTTTTATGCAAGAAAACAAAATATGGTCGATATGGTATATAAGACATGCTGCGTGTATAAGAGGACAAGAGTAGAGGATGGTATATCGACTTAAAAATGTCAGGAAAACATGGGTGGTCTGACCTCACAGAGAAGAAATTTGATAAGGTCCTCAGGCCACTGAGGCAACTTAAAAAAAAAGCTGCACCGAAAAAAATAATATGCTGTTTTAGCATCTAGGATGTCAAAAATGTGTCCGGTGATCCCAAGGTGCTGCCTTTACTGCCCCCGCAGTTGAATTTGCATTCACAGGATGTAAAATTAACTGCGGGGGCAGTAAAGGCAGCATCTTGGGATCACCAGACACATTTTTGACATCCTAGATGCTAAAACAGCATATTATTTTTTTCGGTGTGGAGCAAAAAATCACAAATTTAAAAATTAAAATTAAACATATATTGCATATTCTGCAAATTTATAGCTGTTGTCACGACAGGAATATAATGCTGAAAATGAGCCTGTGCTTCATCTGTAAGCAATGATAAATCCGAAATATGTGTTACAATAAATATTGTAGGCAATTCCCCCGCCCCCCATTCCTTACGTGTCTTCAGCTGCGTCATGTTTATGAACTCCTGAGGGTTTATTGCATGATCACAAAAGGCTTTCGGCGGGTCATTGAATCAGAACTGGAGGTCATGGGCATCGGAACGGCCAAGTTATGCGAACAAGAGTAACACATTAGAGGTGTGGTTTTTTAGGACCCGGGCATAGACCATATTTGAACGGTGTTTAACTGTGCCAGTGTTGTGTAACGCGTGTCCTGAGTTCAAACGACTGCCATTTGGCCGAGGAGTGTCAGCATGCAGGTATTGTGCCAACTGCCAAAATTCGCGAATTCTTGGAGTGGTGAGGCGCCCTCAACGAGAAGTATCTAGTTCCGTTTTTCCATAGGCGGATCTAGGGGGAACGTAGGAGGTATACGCCCTCCTCCGTTTGCCCGAAAAAGGGGAGGATGAGAGACATTTGGTATAATTACTCATGACGAAATTGACTGATATTGGACTTATATTGACTGATATTGGACTGAAATTGACTGATGTTGGACAAAAATTGACTGACCTGCATATTAAACGCTTTACAATTTTTAAAATTTTTGGGAGAAAGCTTCTTGATTCTTGAACCCCCATTCCATCTCCTCCCCCGTTCGAGGCAGAGAATATATAGGAGGCTCGAAGTGTGTGGATTCGCGTGTGTTTTTCCTGGTCAAATAACTGGTTCGCTATAACTGGTAGTACGAGGACAATGAATTACCTTTTGTCGCGTGAGAGAAAGCACCAAAAAGGGAAATAACACTCAAGACCGGTAAATTTTATAAGTTGCAAAATCGGGAAATACAGACCCTTATTTTCAGTATGTTTAAAAATGTTTTCAGAACATAGCGATGGCGTAGGTCTGCAACCACGCATCTTGCGGTGTTTGGAAATCTCCTATTTCCTATATCCGCTCCTATTTCATTTGTTTAAAGAAGGACAAATCAACATCATTAGTTGAACTTTTCATGGAATTTTCTTTGCACAGAGAAGAAAAATCGCGGCAGTTTTGAAGAATTGTCGTTGATTAGTTTTTCATGTAAAAATAAAGTATGACAAGAAGTCTGCAACGTCGCAAACCGAGATACACTGAATAAAAGAGTCTTTTTGCCGCCAAGAAGTATTTCTTCTTAGATCAAGACTTTTATTGCTTTATATAACTACTTTTTTGCTTAACCCAAGAATTATTTTTCTTGTATTAAGAAAAATTGAGCTTAAAGCAAGATAGAAAAAATTCTTGGCGGCAAATTCAAGAATTATCATGCTTGAGCCAAGCACCTTTTTTTTTTCCAGTGTACGTGCGTAGGCGGATCCAGCAATTTGGCAACACCGGCTTTCCACCATTTAAACCTATGCTAAATAATCGATTCTTGTCAGAGCACCTCGCCTCTCCAAAAACCGATACATTTCCACAGATTTAAACGGAGAAAAGACAAAGGATCCGCCATTGGATACGTGGTTGCGAGCTTACACTGTCAATAGGCATTTTTCATTTTTGATTTCGAGAGGAGCTCTCAGTCAGTCGGTGGGCACATATCTCAAGAGATCGAAGCATCAAGGATGTTGAAACTCCTGATTTTTAACCGAAGCGACGCGACCAACATGCCCACACTAAATTCCACGCAAGTTGAAACGCTGAAACTTTTAATCCTTGCGGCATGCAAAAGCTCCACTCGGCGGTGCCCCCTAGATCCTCTTTATCTCGGGGAAAATAGCTGGAATATCTGGTTTGATTGAGCGGTATCTGATGCGCTCTAGTTTCCGGCGCGGCGCGGCGGCGGACCTATGAAATCGATTGGCGGCACGGACAGCGCAGCGCAGCGCCGCGGCGCCCACTTTTCCGACTGATAAGATTCGCGGGGACGTCGATGGCCATCGCCGTTCGAAAGTGGAACATGGACGCCCAAGTCGCCAGGTTATGCGGAAAAGTTGGCGTACCACCCGAGTAGCACAGTGCAACAAAAATGTTGAAATAATATTGCGATTCCTTGCGATACAATTGAAATTTTTTACCACACAGTTGCAATATTTTTATATCATCTGGATTGCATTTTGCAAAAAAGAACCACTAGCATTGCAATGTTGCTAAGATTGTGCAACTTCTTTTGTCTTGGAGGAAAACCCCGATTATCCCTTAATAGTTTCTATTTTACTCGCTAAAAACTGTAAATTTAAGACAAAAATTACCATCTAAATCTCATAGTTTTTCTCAATTTCCGCAATTTTATTGCAAAGGATGAAGTTGCTCAATCTTAGCATCATTGAAATGCTAGTGGTTCCTTTTTGCAAAATGCAATCCATCTATACTATAAGCTCCGAGACATCTTAATTTTGCATACCTGGTAACGCTTAGTTCTAGCGTTCTACCGGGCCGATTTTCATGATTTTTGCGGCTAATCGTGCTCAAAGGGTGTTTGAAAATTTGGATTTTTTTCGAACGCGATTTTCTAGAAATAAAATTGCGACAAGATCCAGGATAACCGCTCAGATGTTGATGATCCTAGCGATTTCATCGCCTAAAATTCTCGAAACAATCGCGACTTAATTCCAAAATATCGCAATTTTTCCGTTGAAAAATGCCACTTGTGTATTCTGTCGTGCTACGGAAGAACGCCGTATGCACCTTCAGGCGTTGCCAAATTTCCTTTGATAAAAACCGAATTTACTGGGAAAATTGCGTATATCATTTTCCAAAATTTTCAGACAATTTTGTACGCAATTTAATCTAAAATAGCTGAAAATTTCAAAGAAAAATATGCATGAATGTGGTCGAAAATACACGTTTTATCGAGGGAAATTTGGCAACTCTCGAATGTTCATACGGCGTTCTTCCTTAGCACGACAGTATTGCTCTGTGTATTGTGTAACACGGCAGTTGACACCGATAAATTGGAAGTGTGCTGATTTGGCGACAGCGCGCCGGGGACCCGCGGAAAAGGAAAAGGGGCTCGAGATACGGGAAAACGCGGGGCACGAGGGACGGTGTCGAGGGGGGAGGGATCGGGGGGTGAGGTGGTAAACGGGGAGATGGGAATTGGAGTCGGAGTAGAGAAGCCGGCTCGCGGGTTGATTAATAATGCAAATCAGCCTTGGATCCTTTGTTGGTCCTGCCGCCCGCCCCTGTTCTCCAGTGCTGAGGAAAAACGCCGTATCAACATTCCAGATTTGCCAAATTCCCTCCGATAAAATGTTTATTTTTTTAAAGGAAGTCATGCATATTTCTCTTTGAAATTTTCAAACTTTTTAGATAAA